TTTTCCCCCCCCCCCCCCCTTAAATTAACATTCTTCTTAATTTATTGCAAAAGCTCTTGATTTGGCACAGCACTTAAGCACCTGCTTATACTGAAGCATGTGTTAAATCTATCCTTATTAAGGATTTATTCCTTATTAATAATTGTCTTTATTATTTAAGCACTACCTTCAATTTTGGGCTGAAGTGCTGTATTGAGTCACCAGTAGTTCGGAAGCCCTGTAATGTACTGAGTATTTTCCCTTGGCTATTCAGTTACTTATATACATATTGATAGTCCCAGGTAATAAAATTAGTGACATTTTTGCTTTATGTTCCTATATATAAGTATTTCAGAACAAACTTGCATAAATTTTAGCATCATTAAATAAATTAAGCAAAGCTCAAGTAAACAGTCAATGCTAGTGTAAAGTTTTACTTTCTTATTCAGTAATATAAAGCTTCTATTTAAATGAATCTTTAAAAGTAAAACCTTGGCAATTAGGTTAAAGTTAAACAATTTCATTCTGGGCCTACTTCTGCTCCCATTGAATCTATTCAATCTATGGATGATGATTTTGTAACACAAGAAACCTTTATTTTGTACATTTGATTAGAAAAGATGTAAGAGTAACTTGTGTCATATGTTTATACCTTAAAATTTTGAAGAAACCACCACCAAAAACAATCTTGTAAAACAGCAATAGATGCTTCTGAGAGAAACAACTTTTTCCAAACTTTAAAAACTTCTTCCTGTTGAAACAAATCTTCTGTTGAATGTATTTATTAATGTATTTATTAAGTGGTACACTTCATGACAAAATTTTAAAAAGTCTTAGCTTCAGCAAACATTGGGAAACCCCTTTTGAGGGAAAAGCTTAGCTTTAAGATGAAGAGAAGCAGTTTCTTTCAAAATTATCCATTATGTGGAATAAAGCATTTTCAAGTAGATACGCTGAAAGCCTGATTTTCTTAAGTGCCAAGCATTTGCAGTTTGCATTGACTTTGATGGGAGTTACAGATATCCAGCACATCTGAAATTCAGGTCCTAAATGTCTCAAATTTGACACTCAAAAACTGCGATACATAAAATTAGTGATGTCTTAAGCAGTGTCTTCTTCATTTGAATCCTAAAAATGAGTTCAACACAATAGTAATTTAAAAACAATACCTCACAGTAAAAGAATGCAGTTAGCAAAATCAATACAGCAAATTAATATATTGGTTCCATTTAGTCCCCTCTGCATTAGGTAACAGACATAAATTATGACCTGTGCATGGCCCCTGTGCAGCTTAGTGAGCTTTAGGTAATAACACCAACAGACTCACCAGACCCCTGGGCAAAGCGGGGTGGGGGGTGGGAGGAGGAGGGACAGCAAAGCATTTGTGTCTCGGAGTGCTCTGCTTGCCCTCACTCGGGACACCACGGCACTCTACAACATGGAACCATTCCTGCCCCTGGGGACTCTGCTGCATCTCGTGGACACGTTGCCAGCAACCTGGCTGCACTGTCTACAGGATGCCATCCGGGAGGACCATTGAGGGGCTGTCAGGATCCAGGGGGCCCTGAGGGAGAGCTTCCACCCTGAGGAGAGCTAACGGTCTCCCCGGTCTGCCCCACTGGGGGCTTGTGCCCCATTCCGCCCTCTCGTTCTTCCACTTACCCTTCCTTAGCCCCCCCCTTCCTGATGTCAAATAAAATGCACTTTTGTCTGAAAAATACAAACTCTATTTATTTAACAAAACTGGGGAGGATGAAACTCTGGGGAGAGAGAAAGGGGGGGAGAGGGAAGGGGGAAAACTTGGAGGAGGGAGCTGGAAGGGGGAAGCAAGGGGAAGAAGGGGGAGGGGAAGCTCATCACTCAGGGGTGGGGGGTCTCGCAGGGCCAACTGCTTCCCAGCACTGCAGGGGAAGGGGGCCTCAGCATCCCTGGGGGGATGGGGAGGAGGGTACGGAGGTTGAGGTGGGGGGGGGGGAGATTGAGGAGGAGGGTGTGGAGGTTGAGGAGGAAGAGGTGGGAGAGGAGGCAGGGCTGGGAGAAGGAAC